ATGCACCCAAAGGACTTTAAACTTTGCTTGCCAGCATCTTCAGTTTGCGTAAGACCAGCATACAATTGACGATCAGTTAGCGCCATGACTACCAGTGGCCATGTTTGCAGGAGTTGTGTCGCCAGGACAGACGGGCATGAGCCAAACTGGGGCATCTTTCAGCCCAAAACTGCGCCAGTTCAGCTGTCGCCAGACAGCGTTCAAGACAAATCGGTACCTTCCGCTCAAACCCTGTCGAAACTCACATGATGTAAATCTCAAAAACCGGCTAACATGTTGGATTTTTCGCCTGACAGTGTCAGATGACTTGTCGTCTGGACGATCTGAAATCGGCGTCAGGTCAAGGACGGTTGAGCCATGAGTGAATCCTGAAAGTGTCGTGTCTGTCGCACAAAGAAAGATTAATAAAATACATTCACTTCATTTTCTGCCTGATTTCTGTGTGCACTTACCGAGAGCGGTTTGTGTGAATGAAATGCTTGCACCTAAAAACAGGCGCAATTGTCTTCTGAAACTAACATTATTACGTGAATAAGAGCCAATATCATCGAAAACGGAATGTTATTGGAGTTTTTGACTCATGTAAAATGGTTTTTCTCATCATAGGCAAACTAAAGACTACTCACGCCGAGCATAAGTAGCATAGTTAAGTGTAAGGAGAAATGCGTTTTTGTGTATTTTAGTAGTCAAGGCTTGCCTCACGATCCAATGAATGTTATGCTGGATGAAAGTATCTATTAATGGTGTCAAAAGACCACCATCATAATATTGTAAGCCATCTTAGGCCACCTTGGCTGGCTAGTTTCTTATTGAAGTAGACCACCGTTTAGTTGGCGAGTCTACCGAATGAGTGCCTCATCGGATTGTAACTGTCAGTCGTTAAATTATCTATCATTATATTTAAATTGGCGATAGTCTCGGAAACTACTTATACCGAATATAAGTAACTTCTTCGACTAGAATGGCAACCACGTGTTTATATATAAAGTTTCGTTTAATGTCATAAATGGGTTGCGCCTATTTCGTTTTAAGGTTATGAAGGACTGCTGGTTGAATTTTTCCACAATTATGTGAGTAGACCTGATGTAATCTTGAAGACCTATTCAATTACGATTGCTGTGGCAACCCCAACATAGAATGTGATATGGAAATGCCTGACACTGGTGGCAATGTGCCCTTGTTCGAGTCCCGCTGCGCGTGTTGCCAAGGTGTAGGCGAGGTCGAAACTGCAGTCCACTTCAGCCTGGATGTGGAAACAAGGCTATGTGAAATTCAATAAAAATCATATGATTGTGGGAAATACCAACCTTTAGACGAAATTGGGGCAACCCAACTCGTGTATCTGATTTATCGGGATTCACGAGAAACACGCTATAAAAGTGGCATTTTAAAGAGTCTGGCTTGCTTTGAACCGACATAGTGACCTTCTGACAGTCGTTGTGCAGTCATGATAGTCGGGACTCGAGCTCGAATCCCGTCGTGACGCATCTGATGCTGCATGACAACTCAATTGTCAGCCCTTGAATCACCGCAAGTGAGGGAGGCTGACGTCTGATGTTAACTTCAGCTTCACAATTGGTCTCGAGGCCCATACATTCGGTGTGATGGGTTGTCGAGTCCCGGTCGGGGACTTCCAAATCGGGGTTCGTCGGCCAGACCGAAAGCGGAGCGCCTCTCTTCGGACGCTTCGGACGCAATCTTCGTCCGGCCGGACTGTGACAGCATGTTCCCCCGAAGGTGGGCAGACGAGGCAACATGTGGCTGGAATTGTAAACATCTGCTGGACTCGGATGATTGCTGGCTTCGGGTGGCCGTGGACAGATGGCCGATCGTGACGTGTGGGTGTTGGCCAGTCGAGCTCCATTCGGTCAGCATTTGCTGTCGGAAAAATGCTGGCCTACAGCATTCCCATCGGATTGTTTGCGGCAAGATTTAGTAAATAATAAATCCGACCAACACAATGTGGAGCAATTGGAGGGACAAGTGGAATTAGGTGGAGTGGCAAGAAAGTTGTGTGGACCCAGGAAGCTTCAAACACGCAAGAGTGAACTGGGAAGTTCTGAGTGAAAAAGTATGCGAAATGTGTCATTTTGGCATATTTAGGCGTACAAATGATGCCCTCACTGACCACTTAAGAGAAAGTGATCAAGTGCTTTGTGCATTTCTACCACATGACGAAAGTGGATGTGTGAATTCACGGAAAAATTGTGATAAATATGTCTTTTGGCAATTGTATGTCCACAAAAGACAAACTCACTTACAATTTTAAAATATTTGCTCAAGAGCCTTCTGTATTTCGACCGATCCACACGTGGATCTTGGAATTGTCTGACTAATTGTGATAAATATGTGTGTCCTATTGTAGTCTTTAAGTCTACAAATGAAAAGCTCACTTTCAATTTAAGAGAATGTCATCTGAAAATTTGTATATTTTTCCGCACTTGAATGTGGCGGCGGGTTTTTCTGCAAAGGTGGATCTAACCATTGACTGAAAATTCTGATGAATCTGTCCATTTGGAATTTCTATGTTCACAAAAGACATCTTCAAATCCAATTTAAGAGAATGTTATCGAAAGATTTGTGTATTTTTCCTCACTTGAATGTAGCTACTGATTCTTCTGCAAAGGTGGATCTGAGAAATGACTAAAAAATTGTGATAAATTTGTCAATTTGGAATCTTTATGTCCACTAAAGACGAGCTCACTTCCAATTTAAAAGAATGTTATCGAAACATTTGTGTATTTTGCGTCACTTGAATGCGGCGGTGAATTTTTCTTCAAAGGCGGATCTGAGGATTGACTGAAAATTGTGATAAATCTGTATTTTTGTAATTTTATGTTCACAAAAGACGAGCTCGTTTACAATTTTAAATAATGTGGTCAAGAGCATTCTGTATTTCGACCGATCAACAAGTGTATCTTTGAATTGTCTGACAAATTG